AATGACTGTACATCGCTATTCATTGGATCATCATCAGGAGTTCTGTCATATCTACCCATTAAATACAATCCTTCACTTGTAAGTACAATGAAACTAGACTATATATACAAGCACTTTGCTCAGATAGAGTAGACAAGACTCAAACATAGACAGATGCATAGAACACACGCGACCATTCATCAAGTCAATTATTGTAACGTAATGTGCTGCGTTAACCTACAGGATCGTAAGATTGAGTTGCAAGGGTCATGTGTTCATCTGTATGGTCATAACCAAGTTGTCACATGTCTACACATATGCCATGAGTACAGCGTGCTGGTCAGCGGTAGTCRAGATGGCACAGCAATAATATGGGATATCTGTAGGTAAGGCTTATCACCATGGCAACTTTAATGCAATAAAAACTCGAAAACAACTTATGAAAGAGTTTTGTTCACATTTTGGTGTTTAGAATTTTTTTTAATTTATTTATATTTTTTGTGACAGGTTAAGTTATATTCGCACACTTCAGCATACAACGGCTGTGCAGACGTTAGCAGTAAGTCGGCGATCAGGTGATGTCGCTACTGTCTCTCATCAAGGTCTGTAACTCATTTATTTTATTTAACTACCTTCGTTATGAAGCTGATTTCTTGCTCATTCTACAGATGAAGGCATTGATGAAGATGATAGTTACCATGACAACCAAGGTAGTATGTTGTATCTTTGGACTGTTAATGGGAGGCCTGTGTCAAGCGCCAAATGTGATCATATGATAAGTTGTGTGGATTTCTCACGTGCTCCAGAAGGCGTGTCAGTTAATGTCATAGCAACAGGGCTTAGCAACGGTGCAATAAGGTAGGCAATAKCACTGGGTTGCCAAGGAAAACTTGTCAATTGAGTGTTTTCTGTTGAAAAATCTCTTCAGTTATTTATGAAGTCTCGCATGAGGTCTCAATCCATATCAATTTGTTTATTCAGGTTATGGAGCACATGGGACTTGCAGCACATACGGGACATTGCACCAGAGCARAACCTCCATCCAATAATCTCGTAAGTATTTCAAAAACAAGACACTTCCTTGCTTCATTTCTCAAAATCTTGACCAACTAATCCAAAGTCTTGATTGTAGAGTTGCCTTCAGTGAAGACAGTCAGCGGCTTTTTGCTTTAAACAATCAATCACGKTTAATCATGTGGCAGAGAAAAGACAAAATCATCGCCAGGCCCCCCTCCATAATAACATTCCCATCATCTTATGTTGGTCCAAGAGCAACCCAGGATGGAAGARCAAAGACTGAGAATTAATTAAGGATCATTGCAAATTAAAGTTTGACCAGTTTTAATTTATGAAGAAAACTTCTATCACAAAAGTAAGCAAATCAAATAAAGCATTTTTAAATGCGATACCATTTTTACATTTGATTGTAATTGTAAAAATGTGACTGAAAAGTAGAGTATTTTTGAAAATTCTAAATATGATCAATACTATATAGGTAAATATAAAATGTTGAAGATTATGTCATGTGTTCTTCATTATCCATGCTTCAATATTGTAATAATTTCGAAGGAGTATAGCCCATGCAAAATGACAAGAAAATAATGCAAACATCTGAAACTCAGTGAAGAATAGACGTAACTTTATTTTGTGCTTGTGTTACAAATGTGAGTGAACTATTTACTTGTCTGTGGCATTAATGAATACATTGGGCACCGTTTAAGCTGCCAAGAATGTCGCTGGTGATTGGCTGGCTCAACCCAGAGTAAAACTATAGAACAAAGCATAAAAACAGCCAGCCAGCCCAGAACAATGGTTTCCTTTTCCACTAAACTTCAAAGTATAAAATGTTTATTTCTTTTGGACATGCTTTTCCAATTATGTATATATATCATTTAGATATTGATTAAATACTATAAATGGAACATTTCGGATGTACTCGATTGATTTTTTAACCATGAGAAAGAACAATAAAGCTAATAGTCAATAGTTGTTCACATAGCACAAAAATAGGTAGTAATTGTCATTTGATTTTCATYAGACTATCGAACTATAATAACACATGAATAGTTGCCATTTATTTCACTGTCAAGTGACTTGGTTGATGAAAAATCACTGTTTGATACAGAAAATAGATTGAATTGATCAAGGACAACCTTAACAATATTATTTCCAGTTACAAATATTATTGGTAATCCGATATACACATTACAAAAGGCTATGTATGTATGGTAGTCCTGAAAATGTAGTCTGTAGCAAACACTAAGCAMACAAAACTTAGTAGTTCAAAACGATTTGATGTATAGTTTTGTTTCAATACTTTACAACAATGCATATATTAAAACATTATTAGAAAATGATAAATAAAATGATTAAAATTTACATTYCACATGATTGTAACAATAAACTCAAGAATTTGATGAAGAATAACCCCAATATATTATGTAATTTGCGCACCATTATAAGTGTGCAAGACAATGGTTAATTGTTAAAGCAAAAAAGCCAAGTTAGTGTGGATCTAGTAATCACGTCTTTCTTCAATATCTCAACTTCATGTTAACAATGCCATAATCTACAGTACATGTATCTTCATCATAATGATCATCACTACCATCATTATCTTCATGTTCATTAGTCTTGATAATCAACATTATAATAATTATTGTCAAATTTGTGGTCATATTTTCAAAATGTTATCACAATGGAAAGCATTAACAGTAAATGGATCTGATATGAAAACATCACTAGTAAGCATTGGTGAAATTGAATAGTGWTTCTAGCAGGCTTGGGGTTCCTTTGGCAGGCTTGCAGTAGAAGATGCAGTCAATCCTGATGATGAGCTTCCAGTTGACGAGTCTGCACGKATTTTGMCAAGAGACATAGCAGAGCTTGTCCTTAATCTTTGAACTATAAAACAATAATAAATGTTACTAGTAAAACAAACTTTTCTTAAAGTTAATGAGCTTTTAGAAAGCTAAAGTAAGTTAGATCAAATAGATGGTTGCAGATTGGTGTATTAATAATGATTAAATGTTACTTCAACCTAAAGTAAGTTGCTTGCAAAATCAAAATCTTATTCTTGTTTTACTGGCACAGTTGGGWACTYAACACTTTATTGTCAGAGAACTGACWTTTGATTGACAGCTGCCAATACTCACCAAAACCTTGCCCTTGTAAAAACAAAATCAATGCTGTGGCCACYTTGTGTGGTTGCTCTTCCAAGGGCATTCCTCCACAGTCAGATATCTTCATGTATTCAGTAATTGTAGGATCCATTTTACCGTTAGCTTCAGCTACTTCTTTCCTGTGAGGGGCAGATGTCCCAGTCAATAGCAGAGTTGGACACGTCAAGGTTTTCTTTACTCCTGTTGTACCTTCAGGTCTGACTATATCAATGTTTGTACGTTTGATGTACGAATCAAGAAATAGCCCTAGACTTCTTGGATTCAACAGAGTCCTAAGACTTTCTTTATAWGCCAAAGCAAGATCCATGTTTTCAATCTTTGTCTTGTCGCCAAAGTGATGCCAAAGAAGAAAATCCTCCACAAATGTGGTCAGCCCTTTGCTATGTAGCTGACGCACACAAACCTGAAAAAAGATTGACATGCTTTTAAGTTGATATATACGTACAGTATGATAACATTATTAGGCGTGATGAAAGGTGGAATTGAAATTTATTCACGCAAAGCAATAATAATGGAGAAAACAAGTTTTTCCTTTGGGAACAAAGTGAGTTATTCAAATTCAAGCACAAAATCTTATTAAAAAAATAACAATCACAAAAGGTTTGAAAGCAAATAACATTTGAATCTTTTTGTGAATTACAAAACCACTAATTAATGACTACATTTATTGCGCAGTTCTTATCGTAATGAAAATGTTGCACACCACAACGCAGGAAAATCATTCCGTGCCGAATCAATTGTACTTTGGTGATGTGATATTTTAATATTATTATTTACTGGGGGCGTATTTTCTAGTCGAGGATAAGAAGGGAAATATGATGCCATTAAGATATGTGTCATGGTGGGCTGTGTCAACACAAGGAAACCCATGTATACCATACCTTTTCGTATCCCCATTCAATCCAGCCTGATTTTGAAGTTACCAAGTTAATAAGAATCAACGCATCCACTTGGYTAGGGTAGAGTAAGCCGTATCTGCATAAGACATTGGCGCCAGCACCAATTCCAATACCAATGAACGATTTGATTGACAATTGCTCAACAACTTCACTGACAACAAGATTTGCCATCTCGTCCATTGTTGGGTAGATATAATTCTCAGGTAACTCAGACTTGATGTCTTCTTGTCCTGGTGCATCTATGTGATAAATGCAAAAATGCTCCAACAATGGCTGGACCTCCACGAAGTTAAAGAAACTCAAATATGCTGAAGTGTGGTTTTGTCCGACATCATGCATMGTGACGATTGCTGSCTTGCCTTCTTTACCTTGCACAGATACGTGTACATTGCCAAATGTAGTCTGGATATCACGTTTAGAGAATAGACATAGGAATGCACTATCATCCTGTGATAGAKTTTTACGATCGGACTCRTGAATTTGTACTCCCGTGAGCTCGATTAGTGGYTCTTCTTCCATTTTGCTTTTTGTGTCGATTGCGCTCTTCATCGGCTTGAMTAGCATTATGGGTACCACACAGGAAGCCCATTTTGAAGTGAGCATCAATCCAGCCGAACGTAAAATTTGTTAAAAAAGTAATTACAGAAAAGTCAAAAAGATATCGATTAATGGGATAGGTCTGGTATTTTGTTTTACTTAATTGTGTAAGAAAATAAAGGCAGTAACCAGAGTAACATCAGCGGTCTTCCTGTGTTACTAGTCCCTTTCGTCCAACCGGCAACAACAACAACATGCCTTGGCGTCCATAGCAATACAATTTGCCAACAATTTTTTACAGATTTCTTCCAAATAATGAACACCGAGGGAAACATTTAACGATATTTACACATAAAAATCTTTCATAAAGGTTAATTCGGTCAAAACAAAGTTTCTGAATTGTCAAAACACTGATTTTATGCACAAACATGGATGTAGATAGTGAAACGTCAAAAGTTGAAAATGATGATGTTAGCGAAGACAAACCGCGATTAGAGCCAACAGGGGGAGACGAGGAACCCGTCGAGGAAAGCAAGAAAGACGAGGAAAATGATGAAGAAAAGGCTGATGATAATGAAGGGCTTGATGGTCTCGCTATCTTTGCGCAACAACTCAATGACAGAGATCGGTTAGTCCTGTATGACAAAGCAGTCAGGTAATCGTGATATTTCTTGTACATTTAAAAAAWTCTGAATTAAACGTTTAAGTTATTTGATTGAAACAATATTTAGCTTTATTGATTTTTAATTACTCGTGTAAGATTAATATACTAATTATGAGAATCATTGATAACTATTAAAAAATATTATTATTATTTACTGATGTATCTTTTCTTTCTTTCATTGCCCTACAAGACTTAAGGTATGCCTTACTTAGGTGAACTGATTGACTTATCAAAGCATTATAATACTGCTTACTTGTTTATTTATTTACAAATTGTTTATTTGTTTTTTTCAATAGAGGAAAGGTAGCTTTACCAATGCATTGCAATGCTTTTTATGCTGCCTGCAAGGACTAAAAGAAAGGAATCGTTTTCCAGTCTTGCCCGAGTGCTTGCATCATGTATGTTCTGTTTTMTCTGTGTGAATGCATGTATTAAGTTTCATCTGATCATTGGTTTGACTTATTGTTTTGTAGATAGCAGACATTTACAGCAAACAAGAGGACTGTATCCTTTATGCTTTCAACATCAAATAATGGGTATTTCTATTTATTAAGCATAGAATTTGTTTAAGGTATTTATCCTTGATCCAATAATTATTCAGATGAAACTGCCATCCAATTTGCTCAAGCAGAAAAACTATATTATGAGACAGCATTGATCACAATTAACAGAGATGAGAAACCTGAACCATGGGGTAAGGACGTTATCATATTAAAGATATATGATACAAAACAAGATACTAAGGGTCATTAACTCAAAGCCTGACAAACAGTACTGACAGCTACCTGGACCCCAGTGACTTTCCTTGACAAATAGTACTGACAGCTACCTGGACCCCAGTGACTTTCCTTGACAAATAGTACTGACAGCTACCTGGACCCCAGTGACTTTCCTTGACAAATAGTACTGACAGCTACCTGGACCCCAGTGACTTTCCTTGACAAA